TTTTAGGGAAAAGTGATTAGAAGTAGCTAAAATTCATTAAAAAAATAATTTCACATACCATAGATTTTATTTCATTAGATTTGGATTACTGTTTATATTGGAAGTATAATTGTTAATTATAGCTCATATTCTGCTTTTGCTTCATTTTAATATAAGAGAATTTTAAAAGAAAGTGAAATAATGGCATTAGCTAAGAGCCTGGGTTTTAAGGCCTGAACAGTTTGTAATGCCACCTAGTGGTAATGACATATACAGTCGCTGGGAATAGTCAGACAGCCTTGGAAACACCCCAGGTACTTAAAAAATTACTGATATCTGCCCCAGAGATTCCCACTTAATTATTCTCGGGTATATCTGTGTCATCAGGACCTTTAAAAAAGTCCTTCGGGTGATTCTAATGTATAACCAAGACTAAGAACCATCATCCTAAAATGAATGAGAGAAACGTTTAACTCCTAAAGTGCTATAGTGCAAATGATTTATTCATTCTTTCATTCACTCAGAAAATATTTATTGGGCATCTATTATAGTCCAGGCATTCTTCCAGGTACTAAGAAAGTAAGATAATTAAGACACTCAAGCCTCCTGGTCTCCTGGGCCTTATAGTCTATTGAGAGGATGAAGGAAAATCAGTAAATAAAAAAAAAATAGTAACAATAACACACTCTAGCAGTGAAGACTACTGTCCAGAGAATTAAGAGGGTGATGCTGTGGATACTGGTGAGGTGGCTACTTTCCACAGGGCCAGAGAAATCTCTGGGAAGTAAGGGTGAGAAGACCAAAAGGAGCCATTCTTCTAAGGGAGGGAAGAGTAAGTGCAAAGGGCCACAGGAATAAGTAATGCTACCTAATCCAAGTTATGGAAAGGAGTTGGGACTTTTCTCACCAAAGAGCTTGTGAATTTTTTTTTCTGTTTTTTGTTTTTTAAGATTTATTTATTTCTGTATACAAGAGCTGCAGTATAGGCCAGAGATGCAGGAGGAGGTAAGAGGATTCACCAGAGACAGAGTAGGGAACAGAACAGGCAGACTAACTGAAATACACTGCTGAGGGGAGCAGCAGGAGAGACAGGATAGGTCTGCCTCGCCATGAGGGTTTCTCCCTGGCCGGTCGGGGATCGAACTCATGCTGCAGAGGCTGCGGACAGCTTCATAGTGCTGTGCTTAATCACTTGCACCACCAGGGAGGCTCGAGCCTGTGAACTCTTAAGAATGGTAGTAAATGATCTGCCAAACCTAAAATATTAGGCACATACTTTCATATATCTCAAAATGGAGGCATTTTATTAGATTGCTCTAAAGTGTATCATATTCTAGGTAGTTAACTAGATAGATGTTACTTGTTTATTAAAGTTGAGTTCCGTCTTTACTAAATTTTAAGATAAAAGAAGCATGACAGTCCAGAGATCTCCAAGACCATTTTCAGTTTCAGTCATTTGCAAAGACAACTAGAACTCACAGAAGCTGCTGAGGGCCTTTGCACTTACTCTTCCCTTCCGCAGAAGAATGGCTCCTTTGGGTCTTCTCACCCTTACTTCCCAGTTATGGACACTGATTAACATCAGCAAAGGGAAGAGGCACATGGGGTTGAGTACAGGACACAGCAGGGGGAAGCTTCAGGCTGTCCTCTCACAGGCCACACGCTTCTCCAGCAACTGTGTGGCAACACACACAGTATTGCCAACCAGGCGCCACATATTTATTAGTGATAAATCAAAAAGGCAGTATATTATCTAGATAAGGTAGGAGGTACTAAGTAACAGAAGAAACCATGAAAACAGCCGAAAGTGGTTGTTTTTGGGAAGAGGAACGCCTGTGGAGGAGCAGGCCAGAGGACGAGCAGGCCAGAGGACGAGCAGACCAGGGGACTCTGCTTCTCCATGATTAGCCTGTTAGAACTACATGATCACATGTGCAATGGTCCTCTTAATAAAATAGAATTTAAAAAATGTTTCAACAAATCAAAAACTTAATAAACTTAATAATAAAAAAACTTAATGGAAACTTAAGGTTTTTAAAAAATGCTAAAGAATGGTACCAAAAACTTTCATATGTTTTTTAAAATTTAAGAAATGGAAGAGATACGAAGAAAATGTTCTGGGAAGGGAAAATGACACATGAAAACAAAGAGAATTTATTTACATAATATAAAATGTCCAGTTATTTTAACTTGAGCATTGTTTTTTAAATGTTTTTATGGACTTGAAAACTTTATTGGTTTTCTTAGGCTCATTTGTAACATCAATTTCTTCATTTTTTACAAAATGCTGTGGATTTTAACCAGTATACCTCGGAGCCTGTGGGATTATGGAGGTACCTCCACCTGAAAGTTTGTTCCAGGAGAAGTAATGTAAGGTTCTGGGTGCCCCGACTTCAACCCTACTAGCTCTCTGGCTATACAGATGGTACTCTCCACAGGAATTCTTATGAGAGGGGGCCCTCTGCTGCTAAAAGAAAGTCTGAAACACATTGAGAGACCCAATCCTGCAATGACCTTGTGTTTGAGGAAGGGTTCTCTCTCTCTCTCTCTCTCTTTTTTAAAGATTTATTTATTCATGCATACAAGAGCTGGGGTACAGGCTAGAGGTGCGGGGCGGGGGGGGGGGGTTAGTGGGGAGGGGGTGAGAGGATTCACCAGAGACAAGAGTGGGGAACGGAACAGGCAGACTGACTGAAATACACTGCTGAGGGGAGCAGCGGGTGAGTCAGGAGAGATCTGCTGTGCCATGTGGGTTGTTCCCTGTACTGAAGAGGTTTCGGATTGCTTCATAGTGCGGTGCTTAACCCATTGCACCACCAGGGAGGCCCTTGTACTTTGATTTTAGAATTAATGCTGTTGCATACTCAACTACAACATAGTGTAAATACTACTTTCATATTATCTGGAAACCAAAAAATTCATGTCTCTATTTTAGTACTGACCTTACTATAGAACCCACAATTTCAAGGAGTGTCTCAGTTTATATGGCCCACAAAACCTAAATATTAACTATATGACTCTTTACAGAAAAAGGTTGCTAAACTCTGGTCAAAGGCAGCAGTTTTCAAACACCTACTAATCCCTATGGAAACTTGGGGTATATGAGACCCTTTCAGGAGGTGAGGTCAATATTACTTTTATAATAGAAAGGAGACATTATTTGCCTTTTTTGTGTGCTGACATTTGCACTGCTGTGCAATAACAATGCTGGGTAAAACTGCTGGTACTTTAGCATGAAACAAGGCAGCAGAATCTGATTGTTTTTCCAGCAATCATATTCTTCACATGATGCACTCCTGCTAATGAAGAACACTAAAGGCCAGTTTCACTTAACAATGTCCTTATGAAACTGTAAACATGATTAACTTTATTAAATCTCATTCCTTGAGCACATGCCTTTTTACTATCTTATCTGCCAAAATGGGGAGCACACACAAAGTTCTCCTGCTGCCTCCATAGCTGTCTCAAAGAAAAGCCGTCTGTGATTGTAAGTTGAACCTGCCACCTTTTTTTTTGCATGGAACACCATTTTCATTTGAAATCGTGATTAGCAGATAAACTACCGCTATTAACATTCTGGTACTTGGCAAACATTTTCTTGAAAATTAATAAAATGAATCTGTCTCTTAAGGAAAACTGTTAGAATTCGTTGCCAATGATAAAATATGAGCATTCTTGTGAAAATTAGAATTTTGGAAAACTTGTGTCTATCTACCACTGTGAGCTATACAGCTTCTCAATACTTAGAATACTTTTCTGCCTTTCCAACCCACCATCTGCAGTGGAACCATCACCAAAATGCAGATTTTTGTGAAAACCCTTATGGAGAAGACTATCACTCTCAAGGTTGAACCCTTAGATATAGCAGACAATGTAATAATCAAGATCCAAGATTGGAAAGGCAATCCTCCAGATCAGCTAAGACTCACCTTTGCTGGCAAGCCACTGGGAGATGGATACAGGTTGTCTGACTACACCATTTAAAAGGAGTCTATTTCATCTTGAGACTCTATGGTGGAAGTTTTACACCATTCCTAAGAAGAACAAGCACAAGAGAAAGAAGGTTAAGCTGGCTTTCCTGATATATTATAAGGTAGATGAGAATATTAAAATCAGTTTTCTTCATCAGGAGTGCCCATCAGAAGAATGTAGTGCTTAAGTTGTTATGGTCAGCCATTTTATTTTATTTATTTATTTAAATATTTATTTATTTGTATAAGAACGGGGTATAGGTCAGATTCGCGGGAGGGTGAGAGGACTCATCAGAGACAGAGTGGGGAACAGAACAGGCAGATTGACCAAAATACACTGCTGACGGGAGCAGCGGGCGAGACAGAAGTCTGCCTTACTATGCGGGTTTCTCCCTGGCCGGCCCGGGGATCGAACTCATGCTGCAGAGGATGCAGATTGCTTCATAGTGCAGTGCTTAACCCCTTATGCTACCAGGGAGGCCCTCAACTGTGACTTTTAGGACACAAATCAGGTTTTATTATACTTCTTTCCCAGTAAATGGAGATGGTTCATCAAAATCTTTTTTCACTACTCATCATGCTACACATGCTAAAGGACTTGTATGGTAGCTCTTTTGAAATTATCTCTTGTCATGCTGATACCTTCCAACACAATTAAATGAAGACAAAGACATTTAAAGAGTACAAAATGATTTTCAAAGGGGGAATGAGAACAATGACCATTTAGGGCCACCCTGGTGGCGCAAGGGGTTAAGCACAGCACTATGAAGCTATCCACAGACTCTGCAGCATGAGTTCAATCCCTGGCCAGCCTGGGAGCAACCCAATGGCGCAGCAGACCTCTCCTGCTCTCCTGTCTTGCCTGCTGCTCCCCTCAGCAGTGTATTTCAGTAGATCTGCCTGTTCTGCTCCCCACTCTGTCTCTGGTGAATCCTCTCACCCCCATACCTCTGGCCTGTACCCCAGTTATTGTAAGCATAAATAAATAAATCTTTATAAAAAAATAACCATTTAATTCTTCATTTGTTTACTCCCATAACTCACAATTTTCAATTTATAGCTGTTTTCAATTCTGTTATCCTGGTTAGTGGAGAAACTAGATGGCACTCCCAGCTCTCCTCAGCAGGATCATTCATTGCTGAATAAATTAACAATGAAAAGGATATTAAAAATACCTACATTCATAGGTTTGCATAGGTCTTTTTCATTTGGAAAGATTTAGAAATGCCAGAAATGAATTTCATGTCAAATGTGTTTTGTTGAAATAATCTAAAGAATAAAATATTATTTTGAAGGAGGTGAACAGGAAAGTCAATTTTATGCTTAAAAATTCACAAAGATAAACTCTTTAAAAATCTTTTTCAAAGTAGGTCAGTCGAGGCAGGGGGAACCCAATTGTTGTGCCAGCATGCACAGGGCAGGTTTTATTCGGGCACATGGAAAAGGAGTCCTGGAACTTCCCTAAGAGGCTTTAATGCTCTCTCAAGGAACCAGGTACACAGGCACACCAGGCAGGGAGGCTGGCAAGCAAGGAGGCAGGCAGCAGCTGGAGGTGGGGGTAGGCAGGCAACTGAGCCTCCCAGCCCCACCGTGAATCTTTACTCGTTCTCTGGGCTCTCTCTGGTGTTTTCTTGTGGTCTCACCTCTTCTGTAGTCACTTGTCCTCTCATGGCCATCCTCCTCCTCTGAGAGATGCTGTTCTTACAGCCCTTTCTCTAGGCTCAGGTGTACACACGCATGCCCACTCCATACTCCAGGTGTCCACAATCAGGCACGCGTGCCCCGCGGCCACACTCCCAAGTGCCTTCTGTGTCAACATAATCAAGGTCACAGGTGATAGCCACATAGGCCAGTGATGCAAAAAACCTGATTAATTCACTTACCCTACACCAATATAGAACCACTTCTTAGTCACTAGACTTTTTTCTATTTGAAGAGGAAACTGAGTCTAAGAAGGATCCACAACTTGCCTAATTTTACAAAGCAGCACATACACTCAACTCTTCCTCATGTAGCCTCAAGGGCAGGGACTGGGTCTTCTTCAGCTTGTACCCCAGCTAATGAAACAAGGCTGGAAAGTGGGGCTCAGCAAGTATAAGCTGTACTCAAGTTTCATTCTGATTCTCATGTTAAGCTTCCTGGCTTACTACTGATAAGATAGGTCAAGTCTGAGTTTGAATGAGTCAAGCTTCAATGCCCTGAATCAAGAAAAAAATCCCAAATGATTGATGGTGACATGCAGAATATAGAAGAATCTGGAGGAGAATCAGGGAAAAGGAAAGAATTTTCTGATGCTGACATAGTCACAGGGGGCAACTATTCATCTGATTGGCAGGAAACCAAATGTTTCCACTAAAGTTGCCTCCCCTTTTTTGCCTCCATATTTCTGAAAGAACCACTTGGGAGGGATAAGAAACAAACCAACTGCAAGAGCTTTTAGACAGCACTACAGGGAAATTCTCAGACTGTTTCTCCTTGTATTTCAATGTTCCACATGGAAAGTGGATCGAAGCTGCTGTCAACAACCTGGAAAAGAGCAGACCAAAGTCTCAAGAGGCAAAAAAAGGAGAGGAACATCTGGCATCCTTTTCAGTTTAGGAAATGAACACATAAGCAGATGTCTGCATAAGAAAGAAAAAATATAATAACATACACTGGATGCTTTCCATCTTTTTTAACATTAAAAAAATGAGGAATAATATAACTAAACATTAGTTCCATCTTTCAATACATTTTTCCATCTTAAAAATAATACATGTTTATTTGGAAGTCACATGAATGCAAAAAGAAAAAAGGTATCCATCTAAAGACAACCACTTGCTACAATTTTACACATATATGTGTGTATTATGTATTATTTCTTTTTTTCTATTTATCATTATAGGAATATTGCTATATTGTATTTTTTAACTTTTATTTAGAAATAATTGCAGAGCCACAGGAAAATGCAACAAAAACATCTTATACAACTATACTACACAATCACAACGAGAAAATAAGCAATGTTTATATGTATGTGTGTAGTCCTGTGGAATTTTAGATCTGTGTACATCTGTGTTGCCACCATCACAATATATAGAACTGGTCCATTATCACAAAACTCCATCATACTATTCTTTTAGACTCTGCCCAGCTTCACTCCTATCCTCTGGAAACCAATAATCCACAGTGACCCTTGAACAACACCGGGTTAAGGTGCCAACCTCTCACAGTTGAAAATTCTCCTAAAGCTTTTGACAACCCCAAAACTTAACTACCAATAGCCTGCAGTTGACCAAACAGTAGATTAACACATTTTTATGTGATATGTATTATATACTATTTTCTTACAATAAAGTAAGCTAGAGAAAAGAAAATGTTATCAAAAATAAGTGGATCTTCATCCTATTGTTTTCACTTTCAATAGTCTGAGGAGGAGGTGAAACAGATGAGGGGTTGGAAGAAGTACAAGTGAACTCTCTAAGTTCAAACTGTGTTGTTCAAATGTCAATAGTATTTTCCATTTCTGAAATCTTGTTATTTTAAGAAAGTTATATAAATGGGATAATAACTGTGTGATCTTTTGAGATTAGCTTTTTTAATCCAGCATAATTCCTTTAAGATCCATCCAAGTTGTTGCATATATCGATAATTCCTTCCTTTTTGATTGCAGAAGCCATCAACCAGACAGACTCATTATTGCTTGGTCCACATTCAGGACTAATGTGGTCCCTTTGAAGTGGTTGGTTTTTAAACACCTGTAGGTATTGGTGCAACAAATGTGGCAACAACAAATCAGAAACTTAGTCAGAGGAAATCATTCATAGAGTAAAAAGCGGCCACAAAATGGAAAAACATATTCACAGTACTGATATCTGACAGAGGATTCAGACACAGATTTATTAAAAAAACCAAAATCAATAAGAAAAGGACAGTCCAATACTGTTCACAGTTGGAAAATGGGGGAAAAGACTTCAGTAGGAACTCAAAAGAGAATAACAAATATCTTGGGCTTCCCTGGTGGCGCAGCAGTTGGGCGCTGGGTTGCGAAGCTGTCCACAGCCTTTGCGGCGCCGGTTCAACGATCCCCAGCTGCTCCCCGGCCACCGGAGGAGGGTCCCACATGGTGCGCAGACCTCTCCTGCCACCCGCTGCTCCCCTCAGCAGTGTACTTCGGTCCTTCTGCCTGCTCTGCTCCCCGCTCTGGCTCTGGTGAATTCTCTCACCCTCCTGCCCTTCTGACTGTACCCAGTGCATGTATAAACAAACAAACAAATGAATAAAAAAAAAAAAAATGCCTCTAAAAAAAAAAAAAGAGAATAACAAATATCTAGTAACATAAGAAAAAGTACTGAACCTTACTGGTCATCAGGGAAGTGAAAATTAAAAGCACAATGTGATGCCACCAGAATGGCTAAAAATAATAAGAAGTACTGGTAGTTGGTATAAGGAAAAATTCTTTCCTTTGCTCACTACTCACTGAATATTTTTGTACTCTTGATGTGTAGGCTTATCCCCATACCAAGCAGTTCTTCTGGCAGATACCGATACCAACTAGGTATTCTACAGTTTAAATCAATTCTGAGACTGTCTCCCTGGGGTTAGTATCAGACCCTACAGGGCTCAGTCCCATAAGGCTGCCTCTGGTCCCCCTGTGCCCCAAATGCCAATAGCAAGTCTTGGTGGTCACCTGGGCTTTAGATCAACTGGCTATTAATTGGGACTTCTCATGACCCCTTCTTTGGGTTCAACAATTTGCTAGAATAGCTCACAGAACTCAGGAAAATAGTTTACTTGCTACTGTTGATTTTGTACAAAGTCTCTTTCAAAAAATACAACGAACAGCCAGATGTAATAGACAAATAGGGCAAGGTTATGTGGGAAGGGACATGGAGCTTCCATGTCTTCTCTGTGAAGCCACCTTCCTAACTCCATGTTTTCACCACCTGAAATTTCTCTGAAATCTGTTTATATTTGGGTTTTTATGAAGGCTTCATTGTATAGGTATTCTGATTAAATCATTGGCTATTGATGCCCTTCAGCCCCTCCGCCCTTCCCTGAGGGTGGGGGTGGGATGCTGAAATTTCTAGCCCTCTGCTCTCAGGGTCTGTTCCCCTGGCAATCTGCTCCCCATCTGTGGGCTTTCCAAAAGTCTACTCCTTAACAAAAACTTGGGTGTGTGGTTGCGTTCCCAGAGAGCTCTGTGCCAGGAATGGGGTCAGAAACTAAATATATATTGCCGTATTACAGTTGGTGATATCATATACTGCTGAGGAAAACACAAACTGATACACCACTTTGGAAAACTGTTGGAATTTACTGAAGCTGAACATGCACATACACCATGACCCAGCAATTCTGCTCCTGGTGTAAATGACCACACAAGGCCTTTCACTTGCACCCAGAAAGCCAAACTCTCAATCATGAGAATTGTCTTTACATGAAGGAGTTTATTCGAGATGGCCATCAAGAAAGTTGGTGTGACAAGCACCCCTTAAAATCAGCTTTGCAAATGGCAGAAGTGCTGGGATTATATAAGGGGCAAAGACACTTGAGGGAAGTACAGGGCTTCACATTTGCAGGTCCAAGGAGGTGCTGGGGAGTCTAGGCAACATGAGTCAAGGTGTTTGACTTTCCCAGGAGAGTGTTTTCTCAGCCATGAGCAAATGTTTGTTTCTGGTGTAACTTCGACTCAGAGAGGCACAAAGAATTTTTATTAGGTTTAAAACATAGCTTTTCCAAATCTCCCAGAAATGTATTTGGAGCAAGTTAATGGTTAATTATAAGAAGGAAATAGGGGAGTGCAATTCAGTCGATTAACAGTTAATCCTAAAAAGGGAATGCAGTTCAGTGGTTTAATAGGTTAATTCTGCTTATTCCTAAACTTTTAGCTTAGTGGAGGGTTTTGGGTTTTTTTCCCCCAAAATGTAGGGTATCAGGCTACACTGGGTATAGAGCCAAGAACGATCAGTATTCATATCTACAAAGAGAGATTTACTTGAATGCTCATAGCTGTTCTTTCATTATAGCCCCAAATTGGAAACTACCTAAGTATCCATCAACAGGAGAATGGGCAAATAAATTCTTGTGTATTCACACAATGGACTACATTAGTTGTACCACAAATGGAATGGCTTTAAACAAACAAACAAACACAGAATTTTTACTATCACAGTTTTGGAGGCTGGAAGTCTGAAATCATTGGGATGGTTACACACAAGGCCTGTGGATAGGGGGAACTCGCCTATCCTCTTTTAGCTTCTGGTAGCACGAGGTATTCCTGAGCTTGTCCTGGTATCACTAGGGATCACTGCCTCTGTCCTTACAGTGTTTGTTCTCTCTGTGTGCAGTTTTACCTCGGGCTGCCTGTTCAGTTTTTTGGATTTTTTAAAAAGATTTATTTATTTATGTATACAAGAGCTGAGGTGTAGGCCAGAGGTGCCGGGTGGTGAGAGGATTCACCAGAGATAAAAGTGGAGAGCAGAACAGGCAGATATACTGAAATACACTGCTGAGAGGAGTCTGCTGTGCCATGTGGATTAGCTCCCTGACAGGGGATCAAACTCGTGTTGCAGTGGCTGCATGTAGCTTCAGAAAGCTGAGACTTGACCCCTTGCACCAGTAGGGAGGCCCCTGCCTGTTCAGTTTTCCCTTGTGTTTTGAGCTTCCTGGGATTCTTGCAGTCAGTTGAGAGACAATGAAACATTCCTCGCCTCATACCAAAGTTACTGCTCACTCTGTTATAGGTTGAATTGTGGCTCCCCCTACCCTTGCCCAAATTCCAGTGTTGAGTTCTAACTCTCAGTTAAAATTGTACTGTATATATGTAGGGTCTTTAAAAAAGCAATTTGGTTAAAATGAAGTCATTTGGGTGACCCTATTTTACTATTAAAGTCCTTATAAGGAATATTAGAATGCAGATAAAAGCAGGAAAGACCATGTGAAGAGATAGGGAGAAAATGATCCCCTACAAGCCAACAATAGCAGTCTCAGAAGACACTGACACTGCTGACATCTTCATTTCAGACTTCCATCCTCCAAAACTGTGAGAAATAGATTTCTGTTGTTTAGGTTACCCAGTATTTTGTTATGGCAACCTTAGCAACTGAATACCGCAATTCAAGTTAACTTTCAAAGGGAAATCCCCTTGCTTTAATGCCCAGAAAAGAGTGGTGGAAGAAAAGCATGACGACATCTGTTACGTAACAAAAATCCAATCAATACATTAAAAGACCTAATTGTCTTGATTAAAATTCAAGAATTGAGCAGCATCTCCTCTAATTAGTAGAAAAGCACTTTAAAGTATGAAAGAGAAGAGTTTTTAAAGGCAATATAAGGAAGTCATAAACAAACAAAAAGATTATTTCAGATTTAGGTAACCTATCTATGGGGGGAATGAAAGGGGGTGTCTATGTGGCTGATTATGCCACCTTCTCTTAAGGATGTAAAGGATTACTTCATTGGTGAATGGTGCCACCAGAAAATATCACACCGATTGCTTAAGATTACATTCCTGGGGAGGGTGTAACTGCAATTAAATTAGGCATCAGGTCTTGATGGGCTTGCACAAGTCTCCTCATCTTGAGCTATTTACTATTTTCTTTAAAAAATTTTTTTTAACAATTAGCAGGACCTTTCTAAAAGACAATCTAGTTATAAATTTGAGAAGCCTTCAGTGTATGCACACCCACCATCTTAGTGACTTTTGTTCCTTAAATTTTATTTTAGAATTAAGTGGGGATAATTCTTGAGCCACCATTGATAACGAAATTGCAGGTTTTCAGGCCTAGTCTCTCAGCCAGCAATAGATCCCAGGCTGCAGTGGCAGCGCTGAGCCCCAGCCACTAGACCACATCGTCATCATGGTGATAAGCAGAGATTTCCCAAACATGTCAGGTGAGAATGGCTGGTGAAATCCCAGTGGGTCTCTGCGGGCCTAGGGAGAGGCCAGACAAGTCTCAGGGTTCTCAGTCCTCAGGGCACATTTGTTACCAGGGGAGGTATTTTTCTGTGTGTTTTAGTGTCAGTCTTCATCTCGGGGGTGGGGCCAATCACTAACATTTTAAAAGGCTCCCTTCCCCACACCCCCTTCCAATGTGGCCAAGGCTCAGAATCAGTATCTTGGGGTAGGCTAATGAAAAATCTGCACGATTTTGTATTTATTGAAAACGTGTTCCTATTATCTTATTAAAATAACACAGTACAAAAGCTCACGTGCTACATGATTCCATTCTGCAAAAAAGGAGTGTAAGACGAGAAATTAACCTTATTTATGAAAAATGTGTGATTTCATTTCAACTTTTTCCTAACCCCGAATAGTCAAGCATTCTATATTAAGTTATTTGGAATCTAAGGTGCATTTTTTTCCAGACGATAATGTAGCCCACACTTAGGGGACCACGTGATGCCTGACGCCGCCCTGGGTGGCCCCAAAAGAGTCCCCTTTTCTTTGCTCAGGGCAACCCTCTTCCCAGGCCCCGGCATCAGGGCCACCCGACCTCCGCCCCGCGAGACTGCGACCCCGCCGGCCGCCCGACCCCTTCCGCAGGCCCCGCCCCCACTTCCGGCCGCCTCCCCGCCTTGCCTGCGCCTCCCGCGCCTCTCCGGGCCGCGCGCCACGTACCTCGCCCTCGCTGCGCGCTCCCCTCTGCGCGCGGCCGTCCGCTTTCCGCGTCGCGTCTGCTTTGCGACACTGTCGTGTGACCGCGCGCTTTACGGCCGCGGGGACGGGGCGAGCCGGCGCCAGGGCCACTCGGGCCGGGAAGCAGGGCGAGCGAGAGAGGTTGATGCCCGGCGGCGGGGCGAGCGCGGCGTCTGGCCGGCTTCTCACCGCCGCGGAGCAGAGGGGATCGCGGGAAGCGGCGGGGTCGGCGACCAGGAGCGGCCCGGGGGTCTCCGGCGGCGGCGGCGGCGGCAGAGGCGGAGCAGGCGGCCCCGGGCCGGGAAGTGGAGGCCCGGGGGGCCCCGCGGGCAGGATGAGCTTGACCCCGAAGGAGCTCTCGAGCCTGCTGAGCATCATCTCGGAGGAGGCGGGGGGCGGCAGCACCTTCGAGGGCCTGTCCACCGCCTTCCACCACTACTTCAGCAAGGCCGACCACTTCCGCCTGGGCTCGGTGCTGGTTATGCTGCTGCAGCAGCCGGACCTGCTGCCCAGCGCGGCGCAGCGCCTCACCGCGCTCTACCTGCTCTGGGAGATGTACCGCACCGAGCCGCTCGCCGCCAACCCCTTCGCCGCCAGCTTTGCGCACCTGCTGAACCCCGCGCCGCCCGCCCGCGGCGGCCAGGAGCCCGACCGGCCACCGCTCTCAGGTACGCGCCGGGGCGCGCCGCTCCCCGCGACGGGCCGCCCTTCTCTCCCCGAAGCAGGGCTGCATTGTGGAGAGAGTCACCCGCGATTGGAAATGAGTCTCCTTTCAATCATCTTCCCCACTGACTATGGAGAAGTGGTAGCCTGATTCCAACAAATCCATAGCACCGAAAGTTGTCCCTCTCAATGGTGCAGGGCTTCAAATCCTGGACCCCAGTGTGGGGCTTGGCATTTTTAATGCCTCAAAATTGGTTTTGTTCTTGTAGAGCCGATGTGAAGGGTGTAACTAATCACTCCTTGGATTCTGTCCCTTAAACGAATAACTAGAAGTCACCATTCAGAACCCGAGTAAGTTGTTGGGGGAAAATACACAACAGACAGCAGCCACCGTCGTTGGTCTGTTGGTGTCCTTAGATAACGGGATTGGGGAGGAGGTAGAGGATGGAAGTAGTCTCAAAAGTAAGTTCTAGTTTGGAAAACGCAGGAATTCTGGTCATTTTGTGAAGTGTGTTAATTGAGTAGCATTGGTGAGAGCAGATCTCTGGTTACCTAAGAGGCTGTATTTTTATTTTATTAATTCAAGTAAGAAATGCTTTATGAAGCCTTATGGCTTTGAGAGAAAACTTGGAGCCAGAAGAGAAAAGCACAGAGAGGCTGTCAATGAGTGATAGGGACCTGGAAGACTGAGACAAAGACCAGTGTCTTTAGGGGGAGCAGGTGGAGGGGTGAAACATCTTGATCTTACAGTCCTTTTAATGGTGGGAAGCAAATTACTATAGGTAGGGGCGACTCTGTACATAGGAAGTAAAAGGTTAATTTAAGGTGGCAGGTTTAGAGACGATTGAGAGTTTTTGGTATCACAGGAGAACTTTTACATTTGAAGCTATTCAGTGTACTTGCTTGGCAATCGCTCTGTATCAACAGCATCTTCTGATGGTTTTCCTGCACTGCTCTTATCTAAGAGGGGCAACCTTTGTGTTGGATGAGCTGCTTTTAGTGTCAGGTTCTGAGCTTGGCTTTCAAGAATGCCCAGAAAGTAAGTGCAGTATGTGTATACCTGGTAAAAACCCATCATTCTAGAGTACCTTTAGTAGAGGAGGCATACAGGGTAGGATTTAGGTCAGAGGGCTCTTTGAATTTTGAAGGACAGGTTAGGCAGAGGGCTTTGTCATTCTCAAATTTAGGAGTCTGTCAGGAATGGCATTCATGGATTGCTTATTTTACCTCTCTGTGCCCCAGTTTCATCTGCAAATACAGATAATTCCCAGCTGGTAGAGTTATTACAAGGAGTAAAAGTATCTAGGGTGTGAGCCTTTATTATGGTTACTTTTATTAAAGTTGGTAGGGTCAGTGCTTCAATAAGAGGCAGAGGGACTGTATGTGTAGAGTTAGTATCTTGTGTGTGTGTGTGTGTGTGTGTGTGTGTGTGTGTGTGTGTGGAAGTTTTTCAGATGATTCTGATGCAGTCAAGGTTGAACAGGTATTTGGAAGATGACTTTCCTGCATTTAAGAAACTTGGAGTCTGTTGGGGGAGACTTAAACATTGTTATAACACATACATGAGATATAAGCTATGGCACTATACCTCACATAAAATCCTTGTTAGGGCAGAGAAACTACCTGTGTTGTAGCTGAAAACATTCCCAAGGAGAGTGATATTTTTGATGGATATTGATTAGAGATGAGGTGGGAAGGGAGCATCAGGGCCTGTCTGGTGTTCTTAAAGAACTGGGTACATTGGATGTTTTGAAATCAGGAATCAGAGAAGCAGAGATTTTATGCACTAGAATGTAGGAAACATGAATTGGAGGGGAGTTCTAGAGATGAGATTAAAAAAGTGCCTCAGGACCAGGTTATGAGGGGTCTGTAATAGTGCTGAAGTTTGGGTTTAATACTTGTGTAGACAGGTTAAGTAATATGAACAGATTTGTACATAGAAATGTAACCAAATGGTAGGTGGGCATGTGGACTGTGGGTACTGGGTGGGCAACAATCAAAACAGACCTGGGGAAATCAGGAATGCTGTGTCCCGTAGTCCAGGCAAGAGGTAGGGTGTGAAAATGAAAATGAGGGGGTGGAGTCTGGCAGCATTGCTGTGGTGGGATGCATGAGGCCTGGTGAGCAGCTGAGTTGGGGCAGAAAGGAAGCCATGTACTGCACTGTGGGAATTTTGTAACTGCACTGGAGCAGGTATGTGAAACATACTTCCTTGCTAGAGACTGCTTGTCTGTTCCACTTCTGCATGGTTGCTGGTAGAAGCAGAGAAGAAAGAACAGCATTTCTGAGTGCTACAGTTTTTGTTTGCAGAAGTAAGCTTTAGTCTTTGCAAGGATAGAGGCATGTTAGAAAACAGAGTTCTTTAGTAGTGACAAAACCTTACATTTCATTGATGTTGCCCCAAAACAACATTCAAAAGCCATTTAATCCCATTTTCATGAATGTGTATATTTTTTTAACTGAAGCAATTATAATTGTTTTTAAAAATATGTGAGTTGAGATGACGCAAATGCTGGTTTTACCAGATTCAAGTTAATTTTTAAAAATAGCCATTAGAGAAATTGTTATACATTTTTGTTTACAGGGTTTTTGCCTCCTATAACTCCACCAGAAAAGTTTTTTCTTTCCCAGCTGATGCTGGCACCCCCAAGAGAACTCTTCAAAAAGACACCTCGACAGATTGCATTGATGGATGTCGGAAACATGGGCCAGTCTGTGGACATTAGTGGGCTTCAACTAGCCTTAGCTGGTAAGGAGAAACCCATGCTTTTGACACCTTTTTTTTTTTTTTTTTTTTTTTTTTGGTGGGACTCTTGCCGGCAGCAGGGGAACAAAGCAGTGCTGAAGAGGCTGCGGGCAGCCCGGCAGCCCAGCGCTCAACCACTGTGCCACCAGGGGAGGTCCTGCTTTTGACATTCTTGTGTGGTAGCAGTAGGTCTTTTTCCTTGACCTACTCCACTTAGAATGAAAGTCTTTGTAACTGCGTTAAAATGTTATTGACTATGCAGAAATGAACCTCACTATTGGATCCTTGCTGATGGGGGTCTAAAAGTTCATTTTGAGTTGTGCGTGAATTGATTGCTTTTCCAATTTAAGAATACTAGGTACCCTAGTCTATTAAAAAGAATTCCTGCTGTCACGTCTACTCAAAGGGATCTACAGATTCAATGCAATTCCTGTCAATACCCAAACAGTGTGTTTTGCAGAAATAGAAAACTTCCTCATAAAACTCACAGAATCTTAAGGGACTCTGTATAGCCAAAGTAATATTCCATTGGCACCCTTGTTGGGAATCATTTGACCATATATAGGAAGGTTTGTTTCTGGGCTTATTCCTTATCATTGGTCTGTATGTCTGTCTTTCCCACTACTGCACTGTTTTGATTACAATATTCTTATATTAAGTTTTTTTTAAGATTTATTTTATTTATTTATGCATACAGGAACTGGGGTATAGGCCAAAGGTATGGGGTGGGGGTGAACGGATTCACCAGAGACAGAATGGGGAGCAGAACAGGTAGATCTACTGAAATGCACTGCTGAGGGGAGCAGCGGGTGAGACAGGAGAGGTCTGCTGCGCCATGTGGGCCAGCTCCAAGGCCAGGGATCGAACTCCTGCTACAGTGGCTGCTGATAGCTTCATAGTGCTGAGACTTGCCACCAGGAAGCCCCTAGCCATTTTACTATTGATGAACTTAATGTTGCTATGAGTATTCTTGTACAATCTCCCAGTGCACTTGTTAAAGTATTTTTTTCTAGACAGGTAAGCACATGTGAAACTTCTCCATGTAATGGTTCAGTCCCAATAACTGTGTCACCTACATCCTCCTTTGCAATTGTGTCATAGCTTATTTTTCCCTGGTTTCTAAAGGGATTAAACATCTTCTCAGAGGTTTATTAGCTATTCAAGTTTTTTTATTTTTAATATAAAATGTATATTGATGTAATTAGCCTATTTTTTCCTCTTTGGTTCTTTTTAAATAAATGATTTGTAGGTGTTTCAAAGGGGAAAAAAACTCAGAATTTGACCCTTTATTTATATGTGTTGCATATAGCTTTCCCAAGTCATTAGCTTGCCCTTTCACTCTCATTATGCCTTCAGCCTAAAAATGTCTCCTATTCCAACCTTTTTCAGAACGCCAGTCTGAATTGCCAACTCAAAGTAAGGCTAGTTTCCCTAGTATTCTCAGTGATCCAGACCCGGATTCTTCTAATTCTGGATTTGACAGCTCAGTTGCCTCTCAGATAACGGAAGCTTTAGTCAGTGGACCAAAACCACCCATTGAAAGTAGGTATATATAATTTTATACTTTTTATATTGTCAGCATCCTCTGAG